GTATGGACGTTAATCCCGCACCATACTTTAAATAAAAGTAAATGTGCGGTAAAGTAAACGTGCTGGTATGGGCACTAATTCTGCTCCATACTTTTAAATAAAAGCAGTTGTGTGGACGATAAACTCGCACCACACTTTAAATAAATACTGTCGTATGGGTAACAAACCTACACCATACAGTGAATAAAATAAGTGTGGGGATAAAACCACCACTAAAAATATAGGAGGTGAAAACCGTCCATAGTAAATGTGGGGATAAAACCACCACATAATATATTATATTTTGTGGGCAATATAACTGCACCACTGCTCAAGATACAATAGATGGGTTTTAAGATCACACCATCATTTTATTATGATAACTTGTGTTACAACGCGATGGGTAATGAAAATTACACCACCATAAAATAACAGAATGGGGTATAAAACCGCGCCATTCCAAATTATATTACAAAGAAATAAATTAAACAAACATGGATGAAACAACACAAAAATTGTGAGAGCACAAAAAAAAAGGTTTGCATGTCGTCGTAGTAGTATAGTGAGAGGAGACATATGACGGAGAGAAGAAAGAGAAATAACCACATAGTGCTGAGAAGATTTAAAGGTGGAGAGACTATCGTGCTGATAACATGTTATAAAATGAATAATCAGAGTATGGGAATTACCACTGAATATTGGGAGTGGAAATGTATTTAGAACTTTCTTTACTGATAGAGCTCTCAGGGTTCTTACTCACTCTTTCTCAGATTTCTCTCTGAATTGGTTGTATCATCTGCAACTAAGATGGATTCTATTTATAGGCATTTACAATAACCCCCCGTGAACAAAAGAAGAAACATAATGATGTTTCTACCCATCAATACTATTCACCTTTTGACCATGTGGGCTTCACCCATTCTACTTTACAACAATTTTGAAGTTTTGGGAATTAATTTGAGGGGGTAAATAGTGAATAGTGAATAGTGAACAGTGTCAAAATTGGATTTTCTATAAATTCGCAGGTCACTGTGCAATTTCCAGAATTTTCAGTTTGGTCTGCTGGGTTTGACCTTTCCCGGACAGGCAATTTATGGCAGCTGTGGCGTTCAGTGGAGGTGATTGACACCACCCATGTTGATTGCAAGAAGAGCATCGTCTGAGAATAACCCAACTGGAATCACATTGATCCGAGCAGCAGTGAAGGCGTGGCGACGTCATGAACCTCCCTAATGAATAGTGAACCATAACTTTGGATGGCGATTTGACTACCTTAAAATTCAAAGTTTTAAAGTTGTTTATCTCGTCGAGATCTGTAAGTCAAGGTAGTTTTGGATCGGTGATTCTGAGATTTTTATGTCGTTGGAATAGTACCCCGAACCACCACTCACGGTGGCGACGCATGGTGGGGGTTCTTTGACTGGGATTTTGTGATAGTTTGTAGTCCTGGAGGTGCTAAGCAAAATGGTGTGCTCAGATTGTCGAGATTTCGTAGTTTGATCGAAGATCAAAGCCTCGTAAATCTAAACCATTTGATCGAAGATGATCGAATCGTTGGATCATGTTTGTTTTTCAGTATGTTGTATCTATTGTTGTTGTGAGTCTATAGGTTTAGACTGATCAAAGATTCGATATCCCGATCTTAAGTTATTGTGTTTCAAATTATGTGATGAGCGATCGTCGTTTGATAGTGCGTGATTGTGCAATCTAGAATGATCCGAACTGTTGGATCAGGCCCAAATTGATGCAAGGTAATGTCGAGACTATTTAGAGTCCATTGGCGCGACTGGATACGAAATCTGAGGTTGTGGGCCTGAGGCATATTTTTGGAGTGTCGGTTGGACATGTGGGACACACGGGACCCAAATAGTGACTTTTTGGACAGTTGGTGTCATTGGTCCTATTTTGACATCTACAATGCGTATGTCCTAGATTTGTATTTGTGTGGGCGATATTTGATTGCTTTGGACCCCTGGTTGGTCTGAAGGGTATTTTCATCATTTGGGCGCGGAATCTTGGATTTGCATGAGGTTGATGATAATGTTGATGATGTGGTTGGTTGTGACATTCTTGGAGTTGTCAGTGACTTTGTTGAGTCCCAAAAGAGGTGCATCTCGAGTGACATGTACCTCGATTTATGTGTCAATGCACGATTAGTTGTGATGAGCTGGGAGCTCAATCATTATTGGAGCCAGAGTTGCTCGTTGAGGATTGTGGAAGATCTTGGATTCATTGAATTGTTGAAAACGCAACTTGGACGAGAGGTGAGTACACCTTTTTGGATTGGGAGTAAACATTTTGTATTGTGAGTACAACCTTTTGTATTATTAAGTAATATTGTCTGTTTGTGAGTACATCATTTTGTATTGTGGTATTCTTTTGTGAATAATCACGTATAAATATATATTGATGTGATTGGTGTATTTGACAATAAAACAATGCTTAATGTGAAATGACATTTTATATTGTTTCGGTTTGGATGATTTTGGTGTTGATGGATTTAGGTAAGAATACCTTGGATCTTTTTTCTGAGTTTGCCCGATGAGGCATTATCAAGAGTTTATCATACGGGACATTCTCATGGCAACAAGGGATAAAATACCCTAGGTCAAACGGGACCCAAAAATAGTTATAGATCTATTTTATGCCATTTAGTGAAACACTAAGTCATATGGGCTAGGCTGACGGGCCTCAATGTTATAAATTAGAGAGCACTAAACCAGACGGGCTGGGCAGACGAGCCTCCGTGTTATACATTAGAAAGCACTAAACCAGACGGGCTAGACGGGCTAGGCAGACGGGCCTCAGTGCTATACATTAGAAAACACTAAGCCAAACAGGCTAGGCAAACAGGTCACATTGTTATAAGACAGGTTAGGTAGACGGGCCATAATGTTATAGATTAGAGGGTCAAAAGTATTCTTTCTTCTACTTGTCAAACAATTGATGTATGAAAATTGCTTTTAATATAAAAGAGTTTTGTTCTCGTCACAGACGATGACTTAAACAGTTCTTGAAAATAAAAGAATTGTGATTGTGATGATGTGATTGATTATGATTACCATGGTTATACATGGATTGTGTTATTCTTTTGAAAGTGCATGTTGATGTATATTATGTGTAAAATGACATATTTATACTGTTGATTGTGGTTTACTCATACGAGCTGTAGAAAGCTTACCGGGTTTGTTAGTGATAAACCTGGTACACTATTCAATCGTGTAAGGGCTAATAGTGCAGATAGTAGAGATTGTGAGCAGGGTAACTGAGGTTAGGAGCAAAAGGCTCCGTTGATGTACAAGGTGTGAAGACTCTGCTATGTGTATTAAACTCTGAGGAGTATGATGTAATAAGTTAAAACTCAATTTTTTATATAATGATGAAATGTAATATTTGACTCAGAAGATTTGAGTCTGTATTGACATTGTGGTTCAGAACGAGTTGTATTGTATTAAGGAAAAGAAAAAATTTCTAGTACTTTTGTTGAAGGTTCCGAGCTTCACATCCCGAATCGGTTTGTTTTGTAATAACTCAAGAATTATTTGTTGTTGAAAATTCGGGGCATGACATAAAAATGAATGAAAATCCAAAAAATTGACAACAAGTACCAAATTCACCTATTTCATATAGTTTAAGTCCTTAATTTACCGAAAAAGAGTCTAAAGGGTAGATTGACAATTATGGTATAATTAAGGAGGCAACAAAATGGCAGATTACCATGTTTTTTCATAAAATATGTTTTGAAGTTTGACAAAAAGAAAAAGTTGATGAAAGATAATCAAAGCATTAATAAGTTACTCAGTATGTAAGAGCATCTCCAATAGTCTCTTCAACAATTTTGGAATGCTAAAATAGGGGAGCCATATCATCAAAACCCTTTCCAATAGCCTTGTCAAATTCAGTCAACAAAGTTGCAACCTTTTTCGCTCTCTTTAGGACTAATAAGTTGACCTTGACTCTTCAAAACATTTAATTTTACTTTGGAAAAAAAAACCTACCTTGAAATGCATTTTTTTATTTTCAAACAATAAATACATAAGACATTGTTTTGCATGTTTTCATATTTTTCATTCTTTTCCATAACATTACATTAATTGAATTGAAGAGTCTAGTGGGGCAAAAATATTAAAATAGCATACAAAGCTTTTCAAATTGCCACGTCAGTCAACAAAGTTTGGTTTGCTGCTAGTATTGGAGATGCTCTAACACTCTTGCTATGGGATGAGGGCACGTGCTGAAACCAATGATTGGTGTGGTTGCAAACGCAAGACCCTGCTGCTGAGTTAGTTCCCATTATAACTTTGGAGGCAAGGAACAAGCATCGAGTTTGAGCAAGAATGTCGCCTCCCAAGAAATGGATGGAAAAATATTATAGCCAATAAATTCTGATTTTTTTAATACATTAAAGATGTCTTTTTAGGGCACAAATGTTAAAGATGCCCTAAATTTTAAGAAGAATGAAGCTGCCGAAGAAGTACCGATGCCATTCGCAAAAAGGAAGAGACTCATAGAATTCTGAGAGTTTCTCCACAATGAAAATCACCAATTTAAACCCTTCATATTTCAGGTCACTCATCTAAAATATGAAACAACACAAAATCCATTTCGTTAAAACAAAAACGAAAACAAAAAACGTCTGCAATCAAATGGTTAAACAACTGCCGATGTAGCCCATTTCTGCATGATCCTTATATTACTAACCCACAAAAAATATGTCCTTATTTGTCAGCCTCACAAATGGTTAAAGAACTGGCGATATAGCCTATTTTTGCTTCAAGAGCATTTACTTCTTCTTTTTTTTTAATACAAACGATAATCTAAACTACAAAGGAGAAGGGGTTTTATACTTTAATCTGAAAAAACATTTTCCCTCATCAGTATAATAATCAAGTTTTAAAATAGAAACAAGAACATCATGCACATGAAATAAAAATAAGCTTTTTTTTTGTCGAAAGAAATAAAAATAAGTTAGACAAAAGAGAGATAAAAGTAGAAACAAGAACATCCAGCACATGAAATAAAAACTTTATAGCGATTTTGTCATTGTATCAACTTACCATTCCGAGAAAAGAGTATGGCTGGTCGAAGTTGTTACAAAAACCTTTAAAAAAAAACCTATACTTTTTAAGCCTTCATGAGGAAGGGGCAGTTGTGAGACAAAAGATGGGCACGTATATATAATATCTTGGTGGGAATATCTGCCTCCTCACGCCCAGACCTCAGCAAAGTCGTGTATATGTTTTCCCCACTTGATCATGACATGCATATCCTAATTTTATCCACAAAAAGAGTAGCTAAAGCCTACCACCACAACCATGTTCCATTCTTCTAGAACAGTTCCATCAACTGCTGGGCCACATCTGCATCAACAATTAATACAAATTAATACCTACAAGAAATAAGATAATGCAGCTGGCTCGGCTTTCGACTCACTGTGGATATGGAATGGTACAATTCATTTTCCTCTCTACCTGTGATAAAAAGTGATAACAAAGCATGTATGCATACCTTCAAGAATATCTGGTGTAGCCTTGAACTCCTGCCAGACATTTTGATAAGAATCAAGATCCAAATTTAGAAACTTCGCAGCAAGGTACGCTGCTCCAGCAGCGATATGATGTGGTTTGAACTGGAGCCACAAAGAACTCCGGAGCCTGAAAAATCAAAACATAAATATAGAAAAAAATAAAAAGAAGGAAATCAGTTTTACAAGGTTAGGAGAAAAACACCAACATTGGCAAGGAGAGGCAGAAAGACAACATATCCAAACCAAACCATCTGAGGCAACACTAGAAAGACCAGGCAATGTCCAGTGCAACTTAGCATAATTTTCACATTGATAGACAGTACATCAGCAACAAGAGATAAACATATAGCATAAAAAGTTAATAGCAAAATGACATCAAATCAAGCATTGATCATGAGGAAATAACAGGTCATTTTCTTCTTACCAACTACAAAAGCAGCAAGTCAGGTAGAATATTTTCCAGAATCTCTGCAGGATTGCTGATAAGAGTACCAAATCTATAGCAAACATGTTATACCCATCTAGAGAACACATCAAAACTCCCAGGCCCAAAACCGCTGCACGGCTATTTTACTCATGTACACAATTCATATGAGAAAGCAAACAGGAAGCAGAAGCGCATTGCAAACAATCAAACTTCTGAAAGCAAATCCACAATCTTCTGCTCAATGGCTGGATCTGGACAGACTTGTCAAACACATGCATCGATGCTCATTGAACATACACATTACCCCAACTATTGACTTCCCAATGAGAATCATCGACTATACACATGTTGCAGGCATGAGATAAAGCTGAAATGTCATTTATAGTTTGTTCCAGCTGGTCAGTATGTGTATATCTGAGAGTGTACAACACGTATATCCTTTTCTTATACCATCAACTAATCTATTCTATATAATATACTAAGGAGCACTGGGTAAAGCAAGGCTTGCCGAGAACTTCTTAGAAAACCAAAATGAGGACTGCACCCTAGGGTTTTAACAATGGTTGGAATTTTCAGACAACTACTAGGATGAATGCTAGATATTCAACTGGGGTAGGGTGGTTAATTCTCACTAAAGAAAATTGGCTAAAAGTTGTAACATAGTTTAGTAAAATCTCAGACCCAAAAAAAAAAAAGTAGTAAAATCTTTCCTCTGGAATCTATACTCATTGTGATTTTAGTCTTCACAAAAGCTTTTCATACCAGCTGCAGCCAGTACACATAATCTTACAACACTTGTACAAATGATCTGGATAGCCTTTCCACCTCACCAAAAACATCCCTGGATGAAACCAAGTAGGATACAAAAGTATATGCCTATATCTTAACTGCTATGATTTTTTTTTTTTTTTTTTTTTCTGATAAGGATATATGCTATAGAAGATAACATTTAATTCTTTTATGAGATTTTACAAACTGTCATAAATGAATGTGGAATTTTCAATTTTCAAATACATATACATTTGGCTGTGTACTTCTGTGTAAAACAAGGAATAACCAGTCCATAGTGACAGTAGTAAAATTAATAAAATTAATAATCATAAATAACACCAATAGTAGCATTAAGATCAAACTCATTATCACAAGTAAATGAAGATAGGAATACGATATAAAACGTAGTTAAAAATAATAATAAATTTAGACAAAGAATAAATCAAAATTTATTTCAAGAAAACTGTTATCTTTTTTTTCACAAAAAATATATAGAAACAAATTCATCACTTGAAAGAATGTTTCAAATAAAGTTTGAACATAGGAAAACTTAAATAAGATATTATAATATTGTCAAGGGCCAAAAAAACAAAGATTGCCCACTAACTCAACTGGCCTCCAAATTTATTCAAAATTGTGAAAAAGAACTTACATGGGAGTTGGGACTAGGCAATTGACAATAACTGATAACAAGTAAATGGAACCAAACAGTTCCCAGTCAAGATCTTGGCCCTGATAAATAATTGGGCAGGGTCTAGATCCACCCTGAGAAATATAGGTTAAACCAAATATATATGATATGACACCAGGCAACTATTTCAAAATTGAGTTACAATTCCTGGCCTCCTATTCCCCATCTTGGAAAACAAGTTACATCTCAAAGCTTCGCTAATGGAGAGAGCTGTCAGCACATTTTGCCAATTTCTTTCTCATTTTCACTTCACAAGTGTTGCATTAATTTTTTTTTCAATTTTCTTTTCTTCTTTTGGGGGAGAGGGTAGATGAATGGCAATATTTTAAGGCCTCCCATTCCATTCTGTACTGGGAAAAAGAACCCAGCACTGAATACAACAAAACATCTAAGTCAGACAGAACCCACACAAGCTCCTGAGACACATGCATCAGTAGCCACATTTCTACAACAATTTGCAATTCTTGGGCCAAGGTTTAAACTTCCATCAGAAAGAGTTTGGTCGAAACTGAAATCAGACTGAAGCCCTGATACTCAAGAAGGAAGAAAAATTAGAACACTCAGAGTGCAAACCCAGTGTACTATCTGATTTGTGCAAAAGGTTATAAGATAAAAAAAATTCAAAACTTTCAAAACTGATGCAGAAAGAAAACACTTATCATAGCCTCCGTTAAACCTAAAGCAACCCCTAGATATCTGGTCAACTGCTTCTTGTTAGTAGGCAAAGTCATTGGAGGTGTTCGTAAAAATGCATCAAGGACAGGAAGGGCTACCAAGCACAACAAAATAAATCCTTGCCTAGTGAATGGTCTTCCTCCAAAACCTAGCACACACAAAGCCCTGTCTCACAAACTGTATGTTTGTAAGCAGGACTTTAGAGGACTCTTTCTGAATAAACTCCACCAGAATGTTAAAAGAAAATAGTGAAAATGGCTATGGAGGTTCTGTGGCTATATTCAATAGCCAATGACCAAGTTGATGGGGCATATTATGAAAATTCATCCACAACATATCGGCATATTATGAAAATTCACCCACAACATATCGGCAGTTCAACTTCAGAAGTAAATCAAAAAGTTTCCATGAACAGCATATCAATCCGCCAGCTAAGAATATCATACAGGTGATCAACGCTAATCTTGTGTACATCCTGCAATTATATGCATGCCAAAAGAATTAATATTCCAAAATAGCTACAAGAGAAGTTGCTCTAAACAAGGAAATTATTGAGACAAGCATCAAAGTTATAGAGAAAAGGAAGAAAACCAGTGTTTATCCTCCTCCACAGCCATAGGAACGCCCAAACCACAGTGAAAATCCTAAAACTAACACAATTTTGAGGAAGACATGCAAGGTAAACTGACTAAGTAGAAAGTAGCATCGTGTTAAGTTGAACATGAGCTAGCTGGTTTTACCTCTTCAACTAAGGTAACCAAACACAAACATTTTGCTGGGGGTAAAATAACAACCAAGTAGAGACATTCAACAAAATGTAAGGCTGAAACCTCGGATTGTATGAACTTACCCTTCACTGACCAAGCTTAAGGACAGATTCACCAAAACAGTTTGTGAAAGGCCTAATTTGTTAAGAATAGACGTAAGAGGATCATATGGATGCTGCACACTGAGTTCAAAATTTAGAGTGGTCAGTATCATTTGCTCAGCATCAGTCACCCGTTCCCGATACTGCTCAAACCAGTCCTGGTTAACATACAACAGATATCAGAATGCTAGAAAGTACAATTCCAATCTCAGCTTTCATGTTTGGTTTTTCAAGAGGAGAGATAAGAGTATAGAGGCTCAAAAGAAATCTGAAGATACTCACAACAGGGAGCATATAGGACAAGAAACTGAAATCCTGCTTATGGAAAATCTCACAAGATGCTCTCAACACATTATTCAAAGGCCGTGGTGTCTCCTCATACTTTGCAGAAAGAAAAAGAGCAGCGGTAGCAATCAACTGCAAAAAGAAGCAGTCATAAACTATAATTTCCAGAGGGAGTGACAGAGTAAATCAATAACATACTTAATACATTACACAGTAGGAAATTACTAAATAGCACATAAAAGAGCAGAAACATAGGTTAAATGAGTTATTTAGAAAATGAAAATGAAAAGTAAAAAGGAAAAGACTTTGAACACAATAAATGATTGAATTTCTGAAATGCTATAATGCTGATTGTAAGAGAACAATAAAAATGATGATTATCTAAAAGAAAGGAATACAACTATTTTTCCAAATTCACACATGGAAACCTTTTTAACTTCTATAGAAGCAATGAATTTCAAAAGAACTTGAATACTTACAAATCTATCATGGCAAGCATGTGATCGCCGAGCAAAAAACCGATGGCAGAGAACCATTGCAGTAGCGATAGTAGTTTGTGGCCTGGAATATATATGATATAGTTTGTCAATTACATAGTCTTACAAAAAGAGAATAAAACCTTGAAACTTAATGTCAACTAGCAAAATCTTTAGAATATCACAGCCACTAGTTTTTTATTAAAAACGAAGACACTTTGAGAGAAGAAGCTTACAAATCAAGCCGCAATCCAAGATTCTGAAGGTAAGAACAATATGAGTATCGCAAATGTGCTTCACGCACTGCATCTATACCATCTTTTCTAGATGGGGAGTGTCTCTCAATCTCATCCCTTGACATAAAGGCCAGTTCATCCTCCTCTAATTTTGTGCGGTCACGTTTACCGGTAGTAGATGTAGAGGCATCACCATTGGACCTTGTGTGAGGAACATAGTTATTGTAGATAGAAGGGGCAAACTCATATGTGTTGGCAGGAAGATAGTGTCTCGCACCATCACCCCAAGTAGAAGCTGAAAATTTTCTCCTCTTAAACGATGGAGCAGTGTCAGGCTTGGAATAATTAGAATTGTCAGTATGCTCCCTATAATTGCCCACGTAATTATTGAAGTTGTTAAAATTCCTAGAGAAACTATTGCTCCTGCTCCTGTTCCAGTTGTTGTTGCTGTGGTTGAAGTTTCTGAAGTTGTTGAAGCTTTTGAAGTCGTTTCTACTGAATGAGGGCCAATACTCGTCACCAGTAGTGCCCCCTTGGGAGCGGAAGTTACGTGTAAAAGACATTGCTCCTGCTAAATTAAAAACAATACACAAACCATGAGAAATTACAAAACTAAAATTAACAAAAACCGAACAAGACATAGAGATCACTGTGATCAACACTGGTTAGAAATTTCTATTCACAATAAAATTTAGGTTATGTTAATGCATTTACAATGGTTTTACTTGATCAAAAAAGTTGCTGCCTATGCACTATGTAGCCTATCTAAACGCGACCTCCTATAATCACTAAAAATCAATAACAAAAACAACCTATAACTTGTCATCAGAACCAACCTGCCTCTATATTCAACCAATCTTCAGGTTCGATTTTCTATTGTCCAGTAACCAAATTTTTTTGTGAACCCAGCAACCAAATTTGTTAACTCTTCTAATTCTTCCAAAATCATCTTTTGCACACGCACATATCCATAAATATGTAGGCGCATGCATGAAATAAATATGATACTCAATAACGTAAAGATATCAGATCCGTTCAAGGCTCTTCACTTAAAAATACATAATTCAATACAAAAACCTACAAATAATAGCAGATCATTGCAGAAAGTTAAGTAATTCGAATTAAAATCTAAAAATTAACCAACTTCAGATATCTGATTGCACAAAATGGCAGATTGAAACGATTAGAACCTTAGAACTGAAAAACCACGACGACGAGAACGAACAAATAGTGAAAACAACAGAAATTACCTGATCGGCAGCGATGGAGATCTGAAACCGCGGTAGATACGATCGCAATTAGGGTTTGGGAGAAGGAAAGCGTAAAGGAGTAGACAAGAGAGAAGAGAGCCCGAAGAAGTTAAAACCCAAACGAAAGTGAGAAGCTTTATAATTTGGTCAGGTAAAAGAAGGTCAGCAACAACAACCCAATCCACGCTTTCACCCCTGCCTTGGAATCTTTGTATTTCTTTTCGAGTAACAATTTCTTATCGGATTAAATTTTAATTAAATTTCTTTTTTTCACAAGCTTTCTTTCCTTTTCTTTTTTTGAACACAAGGGCGATAGTGTTTTATTAATTAGGAGAAAAATGTAACAAGTACAAAAAACTGGACAATGTCCTAGAGGATTAGGCGAGTACTCTACACCAAACGAAGCGTAGTGGTCGTCGACTACAAAGTAGCCTACCTCCTCAACTTCAAATGGGAGAAGGAACCTTGCCTCCGATAAAATCCCCTCATCCCCCTAGGAGCATGTCAATAAAAACTACAAATTACAATCCTCATAAAGGACATCAACTAGAAGATCTGGCGGTTCTTCAAATCAAGTAATAGTAGTTCCAATGTGGGAAGCATAACGCAACAAACAATGAGACGCTCCATTTACAACATGGAAAACATGGGTAAAAGCTCTTTTTATTTTGCTAACACTTTTTTTTTCTTATTATAAAATCACTTTTTTCTTTTTGCCAGATATTGTAAAAGCTTATTAGCGTTGGAGTGTTAACCAGTTAAGTTAATATGGTGTTAACTATTCGTTTGGGTTTACTCAACAATATATAATCTAAATTGTTCATTTATTATATTTTTATTGTGTGATATGTTCGAACAAGTGATTAATTTCATAAAAGTGGCACGCTATTGTCTCTACCTCTCACATTTGAGTTTTAAATAGTTCTTTTGCTATCTTTTGTACTTTTATAAGATGCTTCCCTAATCCAACGAGATATAAGGATAGAGAGATCGAACGATAACCCTACAAGTAATAATGTCGGAATCCACCAACAAACTGTAATCCATTAGAGAAATTGAGTAAACCTCAAATATATTGATTGAAAATAATATGAATAAACTGTCAAATACAACGCCATGAGTTGGCTTAAATAGAAAACAAAGAAACCCTGAAACCGTAGGAAACCTTAGGTTCTAGAATATTCTTAAACTTAGCTAACACGAAAATATTAAAAATCATGTTAGGAAAATAATATCATAATAGATAACTTATTCTTCAAAATATAAAATAAAATATTAAATTAAATACAAATCTTGACATAATCATAATTGCTTCAAACCTCCTCAATCAATTAGAAAATCCCAATGATACGCATTCGTTCTTTTCCTAGCGCCATAATTGATATTTAATTGAAATTTTTCTCTTTTGCACGAGTTCCTTCCAACTTTGAGCCACTTTATTTTAATTAATTTTTCATACCATAATTGACCCATATTTCGTCCTACATCATTCCCTATTTTATAGAGCATCTGCTCCGACAAATTATATCATATTCCCATTTGGATTTCACCTTAACCCCCATCCAACGGTATAATGGTATTTCTGTATTAGAAAAGGGTGCGTTTTCTAAATTTTGAAGGGGGAAAAAATGGTCGTGTTTTGCATATTAGTTTTCAATTTATGTCATTTTCTATCTTAAATAAATATGAATAATTGACAAATGTTGAATTTTCTCCTTTCTGCATACCTATAGCTTTTGCATCTCTTCCTCCGTGGTTTCTCCAAATCTCCGTCACCAAGGAGATTTCTCCACCAAGAGAAATCAATTTTTGCCTTTGATCCTCACGTTTATGCAAATTCATATATATTGGATCAATTTCAATCTACTATGTCGTCATTTTCCATAATCATTGAGTGGTGGGCAATGGCTCATACTAGGGGTGACCTCATATGGTCTTAGCACCTATTTTGAAAATGTGACCAAATGACAATGAGTAACACAAGAGTCCCATGTTGAAAAGGAAAGAATACTCAAATCGAAAGGTCAATGTGACCAAATCAGATGGCTACAATTAATGAAAAGTTACAGCTAGCTTTGTAATCAAGGCTCATCTCCAAGGCAAAATGTTTTGTGGTAAATGTGTCTAACAAGTTCCGTTTGATTTGTAGAAATGAGATTTGATAGAAAAAAATTTCCCATGTCCTTTTTTAAGAGATGAGAATGGAAGATTTCTTTCTTATGTTTGGTAATACTAGGAAAGTAACTAGAACATACTACTTGATTTCATTTCCTATATTTGATTTGTGTAGGAATGAAAAACAAACTTTATTTAGTTTTTCAATTACACCATGTGAAAGTTTCAAACCTCTGCTTTGAGGCCAATTGAGCTTAGCTCAGCCAACTGAACTATATCTCATTGGCAAGAATACCAGCAATATTTATTGTTGGACTAAATTGTTAATAGGGACAAATTATTCATGAAAAAAGAGTACATTTAATGTCAGCCTTGGTTTTCTATGGGAATGGAAAATAAAATTCATGTGCCAAAAAAGCATTTCATATTACTGGAATTACAAGCATCCTAAATCATTTCCAATAACTGGATTTACAAAATAGTTAGGCAAATGGTTAGAAGAAGAAAAAAACACTTTATTAAGAATTGTTCCCATATATATCATGTCCTTTTGTCAGTAAATCTGCCTTAACTTTTGAACAAGGCAAATTGACTTTGTCAAAAGTTGCCTTGCTTCTGACATCCTCCATTAGAAAGGTAAGAAGCTTAATGTGGGGAAAGACTTCCATAATACGGGAATATTTGTTATTCCCGACTAATAATACATGACACAAATGATAACACTTTCACGTAGTATAGCTAGAAGCCTTTTATTGAATGTCCAATAAATTCTTGTCAGCGGAGCACACTACTTGTCAAAGTTAATTTGCTAATTCACGCGTTACCAGCTGACTTGATAGATAAAGAAAACCCTAATGCTTTTATATGGAGTTGCTATGCAAGATGACACTTTGTCAACTTGATTTGAGAAAAGGCTTTACCTAATTGAGTAGCCAACAACATCTACAAAATAGGACCACTGTCCACATCCACATCCACATACCAAGCAGCAAATACCAATCCTAGCTAGTAGCTAGAGAATAATGCGTGAATGGAACTAACAATACTGTTGCTAGCTGGAAGAGAAGCAAAGACACCAATATTATTACTTTGGTCCTTTTCGGCGACATAGATTATACCTGATAATAACGTCCATTAGGTGTGTAGGCCTAGCTACTAGTCTAAAAAGAATGAAAAATGAAAAAGCTCCATAGCTGTGCAGCTCTCTTTTTTTTTCCCCCAGCATTAGGTGTGTAGGCCTAGCTACTAGTCTAAAAAGAATGAAAAATGAAAAAGCTCCATAGCTGTGCAGCTCTCTTTTTTTTCCCCCAAAGTGTGTGGACAGAGTAAAACCTTACATGCAACATGTTTTATACACATTTTTCTTTATCTCTCCCATCAATGATGAATCGTGACAAGAAAGATAGAGAGAAAGGTGTACAAAACATGGAATAAGAAAGTTTTTGTGGTACGGGTAATTGATGCTCAATAAATTATCCAAACTTTTCATTACTAAATTGGCATAAATAGTTAAGAGTATTTACTGATGCATTAAGGTCCAAGACATACCCCCTTCCCCAACTATCGCTTGGCATAAGTAAATGAGCTTCTTGGTGGACTCGTATATTTAAAGAAATAAGTTATTATTATGCAATTTAGATTCAAAAAAGCCGAGATAATTTGGTTCTTTTAGTATTATTATTGATGAACCGGCCACTTGTATATCAGAGTGAATTTAATTTCTTTTTAATGTTATTCATATTTCAATCTAGTTCCTTCCTAGGCTCCATATTATATGTGAGTACCATATAGTAAGTAACTAACTGGCTTGGAAAAATATATGAGCAAATTGCAAGTGGATATAATGCCATTAACTAGCAAGGAGAAACGTCCTAAGACTTTGCACTCAGAATCAAATAATTCAGAAGTTTGAAGTCGCCTTTAATATTGGCATATATAGGATACTGTATATATGTCGATTTGTCCGCGTTAAGGGTAATACCTTAGCAAAAAGGACATTAGAGAAGCCGAAATCACGTGATGCAGCACAAAAGGCTCATGCTAACACTATTTCTTTCGAACAATAATTGACACATCCACTATTTGTTTTTCGCCTTTTTGCTAAATTAAAGGTCATGGTGGGATGAAATACCAAACCTGTTTAAACCTAAGTGGGAAAACATAAGAGTGAAAACCTCTAGCCGTCCGCCACCCCTTTTGGGGCGGTGACTACCATACTTTTGAAACCCTCTTCTTCTCTTTTTCATTTTCTCTTCACCGTCTTCCCTTCTCATCCTCTTTGCTTCCCTTTCCATCATCGTCTCTATTTCGTTGGCTTGTTTATGGCGTAATTTTATAACAAATCCCTGCAGATCTATTCATTTTCGGTATATCTAGCTATCTTTGTTAAAGAGGAAAGTCGATTGGTGCAGATATGTTATCTTTTGGTACTTGCGGACAATGATTTGGCTTTGTGACAATATGACTGGTTTAGTTTCTTTCTTTTTGGAATAAGTCACAAAAACTCTCTTTGGGTTTATTTTTGGAATAAACACAATCAGAAGTGTTTTTTTTATTGTCAGAAAGTGCTTTTAGCTCTTCCAAAAACACTCTCAAACATACCCTTAAATTTCATGTAGGATAGGCTTTTAATTGAAATTCAATGTCGGTTAAATGGATAGCTAGCCATAGTAAGGGGCATTTTGGATGCATAGTAAAGGTTCCAAAGGCCATTCACATCCAATGCAATTGACCTGTAAAACTCAGAAAAAAATGCTCCAAGTCGACCCAATGATCTCTTTACTAGTACAAATCAATTACTTCATATAGCATTAATCATGGCTCTAATCTCCACTAATTTGCTGAAATATTATAGTATACTTATTCATACCTCATAGCTGGCAAGTTTAACTACAATTAATTTTGTTTTCGTTCAAGATTACCTTTTTGATGCCTCCAAAAGCTATTTCTTCTCTACTATGATTCTGGGATTGGAGAGCAAATCTCTTTTCTTGAGAATCTAGTTAATTGTTCTGGACAGAGTGACCTCCTTGATAAATATTACTATTTCATTATTTTTATCACATTTGATT